GCTCTTCTCTCGTCCCTCACTCACTTCTCTCTTTATCTCCAATCTTGTCCCCTCTCATTAAGTCTTTCTTATTTTATCTCCTCTCTTTGATGTATCCCTTCTTTCTCTTCTTGCTCTATCTTCTCATTATAGCCATCTCTCCCACTCCCTCTTCCTTCCTCCTCTCTCACTCTTTGTATCTTCAATCTTTATATCTCTCTCCTTCTCTCCCACCCTCTCTCCATCCTTGAGCACTCTCTCATGGCCCTTCTCTCGTTTCTAGGTCTCCACCTTTCTCACTCACTTTATTCTCTCTATCTCCCATGCTCGCTCACTCACTTGATCTCTCTCCCTTCTATTTCCACTCTCTTTAACACCTGTTATATCTCTTTTATCTTTCTTTTATTTCTATGTCCCTTTCTTTTCTTCCCTCTTCTGCTCTCCCTCCATCTCCCTCTCTTCCCTCCTTCTCACCATACCCCCCTCCTTGCCTTTATCTCTCTTGCTCTTTACATCACTCAATCGCTCTCTCTCTCTAGCATGCTCTTCATCTCTACCTCATTCTCTATTATCTATTTCTCTCTCTTTTCTTACTCTCTTATGCTTCTTGTATATTTGTGTCTCACTCTCTCTTATTCTTCATCCCCTCTCTCTTTCTCTTGCTCTACTACAATCTCTCTCCTTCATTCTCCCTCTCTCTATCTCTTTCCATCCTTTCGCTTTCACTCTCTCTCATTCTCTCCCTATGCTTCGTATTTTCTCACTTCCCTCTATTACACTATCTCACACCTGTTTCTCTTCCCTCTCTCTTAATATTGTTTCCATCGTTTTGGCTCTCTCTCTTGCCATCCTCCCTCTCTCTCCCTATCTCTCTCTTACTCTCTTTTCTATCTATTTCCTTTCTTGCCCACTATTTCTTTCACAATCAATCTTCCTATCTCTATTGCTTTGCCCACTCACTCTCTCTTTCCTTATCTTTCTCCCTCTAATGTACACTTATGCACTCTCTCTTTCTGTTCTCCCCAGCTCTATGTCACTCTCCCTCCACCTCTCTCTTACTCTATCTTCTCTCTTCCTCGTTCTCTCCCTTTCCAACCTTCCCTCCCTCATGGTCTCTCTATTATTTTATATCTTTCTCTCTATTTTTTTGCTCACATATTCTCTCCCTTTCATTTCTCTCTCTCTTCTTTCTCTCTCCCTTTCACTATCTCTCCCACTCGTGTCCCGCTACTAACTCTTCTCCCAGTTCTCTCTATCCTACTCTGTCTTTTGTCCCTCTCTCCTCACTCATCTCTCTGACTCTCTTTTATCTCAAGCTATCTTACCATATCTAGCTCTCAATCCATTTCTCTGTCTCTGTCTCTCTCCCTCTCTCTTGCTCTTATGCTTTATTTCTTCTCTCTCTCCCTCTCTCCCTTCGACTATCCCTTTTTCACCCTCTCTCACTCTCTCTTCCTCACTTTCTTGCTCTTTCTAGCTCTATATCTTTCTCTTTTCCCTTCAAATCTCTCTATTTATTTAACAATCTAGTGATATCTCTTTTTTCTTTACTCTCTCTATTCTCTCGCTCCTTCCTCTCTCTCCCTCTATCTTACTCTTACTCTTCCTCAATCTCACACTCCCTCTCCATCCCTCCCTCTGTCTCCCATTTTTTCTCACTTTCTCCCACTCTCTTCTTTTTTCTCACTCTATCCTCTGTTATGTATTTTCTCTCGCTCTTCTTTATCTCTTTTGTACTCTCTTCTCTTTCACTCTCTTTTTGTCTTAATCTCCTTCTCTCTCTCTTCTCTATCCCACTCCTAACGTTCTATCCTAATACCTCCTTCTCTACCATCCCCTTCGTCTCTCTCTGTTTCTCTCACATTATCTTTTTTTCGCTCTCTCTACTCTCTAAGTCTTCTCTTGCTTCTCTCCCTTCTCTCATTCGCTTTATTTCTCTAACTTCTTACTCTTACTCATCATGTTATTTCTCCTCTCTTTTTTACTCTATTGTGCTGCTCTCTCACTTTAACTTTCAGTCTCTTTTCTCTCGCACTCACTAATTCTATCAATCCCTTACCCTCACCCTCCCTCCCTCACTCAATCTTTATCATTCTATCTACCTTGTCTCTTTTACTCCCCCTCACTTTATCTCTCTCTAATTCTACATCATTTGCCCTCTCTCTCTCCCACTATCACCAATCCTCTCTTGCACGCCATCTTTTGTAAACACACACACTCTCTCTCCCCCTATCACCACCCCTCCCTTGCACTCTCTACCTTCCTCTCTCCCTTTTATGCCACCCTTTCTCCCTTAGCCACACACACTCTCTCTCCCTCCATCTCTTTATCTCTCTCTCTCCCCCTCTCTCTCTCTCACACACTCTCTCTCCCTCCCTCAATCTCTCTTGCACACTCTCCCTCTCCCCAACTCTCTTTCTCGCTCTCTGACGCACCTCTCTTTTCTCTCCCTCCATACTTACCTTATTCTCTTTATCCCTCAATATCTTATCATCTCTCTTCTCCCTTTTTCTCCCCTCAATCAC